TCCTTCCAATCCACTCCCCACTCCACCTCCCTCAAGCCCAAACTCACTGCCTTAGAGCCAATACGGCCTCAGAGTGACCCGGCCTACGGGACAGGGTCGAACTGCTCCTGTGGGTTTCCCAGATCATAAATTTGTACCGAGTAGAGAGCCTCATCTTCCTCTCACGGAGCAGCTGGTTTCAAACTGCTGACCTCATGGTTAGCAGCTCAGCAAGTAATCCACTATGCCACCAGGGCTCCTGCTCCCAATAGCAGGGGCCTGGAGATGCTTATTCAGCCCCAGCAAGGCTGTGAACTGCCACTTTTGAAAATGTTGCCTTGCAGATCTACCTGTCCTGGTGTTTGTCCTGAGAGGTCACTCACTGAGCAGGACCTTGTCACGTCACTCAGCTGGGCAAGGGCCAACGGAATCTTAGTCCAGGGGCTGGCTCCACGCTCAGGCGCTGCTCACTCCAGCCATCACCTGCGGCAGAGCCTTCTCCCAGTCTGCCATTCCTCACCAGTGCGTACCCAGGCTTCCGGGTCTGCTCTGACCCCAGCATCCTGCTCTTTGCAAGGCCTCTCATGAGATTCTCTAAACAAACCAGCCTGCAAGTACGTCATGGAAAAGTCTGCTCTGGGGCTTTGTCAGTGGCTGAGCCAAAGATGTGAGCTCCAGAAATCCATCTCAAAGAAACACACGACTCGGGGCATGTGCTGGGCAGGAGGAGCTGGCACGGCCTCAACCAACCTGGCTTCCTACCTTGCCAGGCCGAGCTGAGGAGTAACCTGCAGTGCCTTGAGAGAAAGCAAAGGAAGCCCTTGTCTAACCCCATCTTTGACATGCTGCGCAACAGTGGAACCAGAGTCCTAGAGCCTCTTTATCTTAGAAAGTGTCTCCTTCAAGGGCAATGTTCAGCTTGTTTCAGGGGCTTTGGCAGGGAGCTAACGTTTAATAGCAGCCACCACGGACTGTGCATGTGTCTTTATGATTTCATTCCGGCTGCCCAGCAATTGCTTGGCCAGATTGTGAAATGGCCGAGGTGTGTCTCAGGCCAGAGCTGGAGGGAGCTGCAGCTGTGTCCCGGCCGGACTAGGTGCTTCAAACGTGTAGAGGAACCTGGCCGAATGGGTTTTCCCGGGCTGACTTTGAGGGGAGAGAGAATGAGTTTCTATTACTTTGCCTGTCAGAACATATCTGCTTCTAGACATAGTTTTAGTCAACTCCATGGTCAGTTTTCCATGAGGATAAGGGATGCTGCTCCTTGGACTATGTCCTGTAAGAAAATGTCATTATTCGTGGCAAGATCGAATTCTGTAGCGGAGTGTTGAAATTTGTGATTTCCTTTTTGTGGATCAAGGATGAATTGATTGGTTTTTAGATCATCTCTCTACCTCATCAGTAACTCTAGTCAAAAGGAATATTAAAAAAATTTTACTCCAGAGGTTTCTTAGTCTTGTGACCTCAGCAAGGTTGACTACATTATAATAGTGGAGGGCAGGGCTATCCTATCCAGATATGGGAATGGAAAATTTGGGACAATATTTCTAAATCAAAGTTTTTACAAAGCTTTATGGGTAAGGTCCCAGAACCCTGGGAATCAACTGGGGTAATGAAGACTATTTGCATCGTCCTAACTTCTGGAATAATGCTCCAACCACCAAAGACTTCCAGCATTGTTGGGTACCTTCGAGCCAGTTCCGACTTCTAGTAACACTTATGTACAGCAGCATGAAGCATTTCCAAGTCTTTGTGACCATCTTCCCAGTCATTGCTATGTTTCAGCCCCTTGTTGGCAGCTCCTGCCACACTATCTCACTGAAGCTCTTCTGCTTTCTCATGTCCCTCTGCTTTCCCAACCATGATGTCCTTCTTGAGGCACTGGTCCCTCCTGACAATATTCCAAAGGACGTGAGAAGAAGTCCTGGGATTGTGCTTCTATGGCAGCATTCCGGCAATACTTACTCCAAGAAACATTTGCTCTTTCTTCTGGCAGGCCATGGTAGTTTCTTCTTCTTCTTCATTTTTTACTCCATGGTATTTTCAAAAATTTTTTTTCTAACATCCTAATTCAAAAGCATCAATTCTTCTCCTGCCCTCTGGATTCCGGATCAGCTCGCTCTGATCCTTGCCTCTCAGCCACTTGATCCCAAGGCCCCTGCTTTATGACAAAGGTTGGGAACCCCATCGCGCTGCCTCATGGACTTGACAGGTGCTTCTGCTCTGTGTAATAGTCTTGGTGTTTCAGCCTCTCCTGCCTCCACAACTTCAGCTGGGAAGGCCCACTGGCCTTACTGCTGGCTCTTCTTTCTTGATGATCACAGGATTCTCTTCTCGTTTCTGAGATGGCTCACTCATATATACCTCGTGGAGTGGCAAGCCTGGCCAATCCCCAAGGTAGTGTCCTCTACATCTTATTTGCAGTGACCAGGTGACAGTCACAAGGACTATGGATAGAAGAACCAATAAGCAAGTGATTGTACTTTACCATGTCATCTTTGTAAAGTTCTCATCATAGACGTTTGTGACCACAAGGCATCTTCAGACCTGTTCTGATCCCCTTTTCCCATGCTTTATGCTCCTCCACTAGCCTTGTCCACCTTTGAGATTTCAGGGTAGCTGGTGGGCAGTCAGCAACTGAAAGTTAAGTTGCAGCTATATCTATTTGTTATGTTTTATCAGTGCTCATCACTTTTTCTTGTGGAGTTCATACTTTCAATACGGAGTTCAAAGACATGTATTTTTGCAAAGCCTATCACTTTAACTTCTGCTGTCCTCACTCACTGCCCTCAGTCGACTCTGACACGCGGAGGCCCTAGAGGTCGAGCCAAAATGCTTCTGTGAGTTTCTGAGACCATAACGCCCCACCGGAATAGAACTCCCGGTCTGTCTCCCTTGGAGTGGCTGGTGGTTTCAAACTGCCGACCTTGCCGTTAGTAGCCCATCTCATAGCCACGGTCCAACTAGGGCATCTTAATGCCTATTTCCTAGTTTCACAAACAAACAAACAAACAAACAAACAAAAACAAAGCAATAGGAAAGAGTAATTGAACCGGACAAGAACTTTTAAGCAGTTTTGTTTGGCTTGAAATTAAATAGAGGCTTAGTCAGAGTCGACTTGATGCAGTATTTTTTTAGGGTGATTGTTTTTAGGGTAAATGGAGCCCAGAAGCTAACAAGGCTATGGGTCGCTACAAGGAAGGCACCGGGGTCATAGATATTTTTTTTAGAAGACAAGGAAAGCATAGAACAGTTGCAGTGATGACAACATTCTTGTGGTTTTGAGCTTTTCGAACTAAATTGAATTCAGAAAACCTGATTATGGGGCAAAAGGGTATAAACTTCTCTCTCTTTCAGGCTGTAACTATCTGACAAATGGGAAAGTCCCCCTCTGTGTGATTGAATGAGAGCGGGCAAACTTCAACCACACAGCAATGTATTCCCATTATTGGAAGACTTTCTGGTGGAGGGGCATCCCAGTGTAAGTTGCATTCAGAAGAGCCAAACGGATCAGTCCCAGTTGGGGAAGCAGGGGACAATCTTTCCTAGTTGTGCACCCTGTGAGCAGCTTGCCCAAACAGCCACCTGCCACGGAGAGGGGGTATGGATGTTCTTAAGGGTCTGGAGTCAGGGGCTAGATTTTCCAGGTTCCTCATGGCCATAGCTGGCCCACTACCAAACTTCGGTGTCCCACATACATTTAGACCCAAACCAAATTCATTGTCATTGAGTTAAGGCTGACTCCTAGAGATCCTGCCAGCCAAGTGGAACGGTTCCATAGGATTTCTAAGGCTGTACAGTTTTGCAAAAGCAGACCGCTCCACTCTTCTCCCATGGAGCAGTTGGTGGATTCAAATCATGACCTTTCAGTTCGCAGCGAAGTGCTCACGCACTGCTCCACTAGGGTGCCTTCCTCATTCACCGGGTTCTTTGCAAGTGGATGCGGAAATCCCAAGAGAATGCTATTCATTTTCTTCTAGTAAAGACTTTTCAAGTTGAGAGTACAAAGGCCTATCTCTAGATAACAGTGAAAAGAAGTCCAAATGCACAACTAAAAATAGCAATTACCAGGAAACTCACAGTGGAAATATCATGGTCAAATACTCACTCTATAGGACTTAAGATGTATGAATTTGGGCAGGCTGGACAGCTTGCTGATTCTGACCTAAATAAATGATCTAAGGCATATGATAACAAAAAAGCTCTATCCAAGAAATTGGGCCATGGCCGTTAATGGCTTAACCATTTCTCTACCTGCAGCCCTTGAACTTAAGCACGAGAGCTTCATGGCAGAGTGGTGCAGTTGGAGAGAAAGATAAAGTATCGTTTTCACTCAGCTAGGACACAGGGATGCTAGTGATTCTAGGCGACTGCCTTAAGTTCTTGGTTAACCAGGTTCTCTAACTTGAAGAAACATTTTTGATAACATGAGCTGATATCAAGACTTTTAGAGAACTCCCCCAGCTATTCTGAGGTGGACCGTCTCTTTTGGAAAGCATCCAGGATCCCAGCTTTTTCTTCATTCCAACAATTCTTCTCCATATTTCTCCCCTGTACACGACTCCCATCTTTTTGGGGGATCTTTTTCACAGTTCCTTCAGCAACGCAATAAAGAGAGCACAAAGAGAGAAAGTGGAAAAGCCCCGAGTGAAACAAGCAAACAAAACCCTGTGAAGTGGTCTCGTTCATTCTGACCTGCAAGAGGAGGAAATGGAAACTCTAGGTCAAATAACGCTATTTCGGTTACTGATGGCCATTTTTTGTTGAGTGGATCTTTCTTGACCAATCAACACCTTGAGGAATGCCGTGATTTAATTATTTATAATTATAAATATTTTTAAAGTATGAACAATGCGCTTTTGATGGTCATTTAAGTAGGCAATAAATTGGCCCCCAAATGATCAGTTTGAGTATTAGCTTTATTATCCATTAGCTTCATAGAAAGATACCCGTCGGCAGAGCCAATGGGTCATCCTCCCCCTCCCTCCAGCCCTTAATGAATGAAGATAACAAAAATGTACCTGTCCTGCGGTGTCGTAGAGTCCGAGCAAGTGCTGCTTGCCTCCCACTGTCACAGTAACTGTGGAGAAGAGAAAAGGAGAGTCCATAACACACCAGCTTCAACCAGGACCGTTCCCATGTCTCCATGCCAACATTTCCCTGGGCAGCACGGCTGAACATAGGCCTCACCCGTGTATGTTCTGAAACAAAGCGACAGCGTGGTTTCCAAGTGAAAGGCAACCTCGGGCTGCCGTGAGAGCAGATGGGCTGAGCCAGGTCCAATTGCTCAACCACAGTGAGTTTCATTGAAGCCACTCGGGAACTCTCAGGCTGCTCATTGATCTTTTTAAACCAGTGCCATTGAGTGGATTCTGATTCTTAGTCACCCTCTGAGCCATGGTAGAGCTGCCTGTAATCGTTATGGTGACCGCCACATCTTCGTCCCACAGAGGGACTGGGGAGCAGCCGAGTACTTTGACCAGGGCGTCTCATCAGGCCCTTAGACTATCAGGCTCCCGGAGGAAAAGGAAAAAGATGCTGGGCTCCTTTGAAATGGTTTTCTTCTCTTGTTTGGCTTGAGCCAGCTTTCAGGATAGAGCATTGCGTAAGCAACTTCTGTTAGCAATCTCTCTGCATTTATCTGTCTTTGAAATGCTGAGAACAAAGAATATTTACTTACCTATACATTTTGATAGCAAAGCAAAAAAAAAAAGAAAAAGAAGTGGGTGGGGTGGGAAGGGGTGCTCAACATATCAAAACATCAAGTATTCCTATGGTTTAGCTCAACCAACTTTGAACCTTAGCTGCAGAAGGAAATGCTATAGGGGTTTGGTTTCAAAAAATCTACAAGGTAGAAATAAAGCAAAAAACAGAACTCGATTTCCCCAGCAGGCTCCCTGCCTGGGGAAGCAATTGTGTTTTCAAGTGAGAAGCAACACAGGGATGCCAATGACCTTGTACATGGCTGGAAATGAAATAAAGTCTTGAGTTCAATGACACAGAGCAAATGCAGAAGTAGCACGATTTGCTTGGAGAATGGAAAGGACCAACATCCAAAGAAATGCCGTCTTTCTGGAAAAAGGACATAAAGTAGGGCAGCACAAGGTGATTTTTCCTGGTTGTGTTAAAAAGAAAGTCTTGAGAGAAGGCAGCATAAAGACGCTTCGTCAGTCTTCCTACCACAGGCTGTGCAGAAATGAAAATACGTGAAATAACAGCCACATCGCTACTATCTTCTCTCGTCTCCTGGCAGCTCAGACTCGCTGATTCAGTGCTGGTTTTCCTGGGATTGTTCTCACAAGTCTGGGCTGTGTGCGTGCAAATTACCTCGGCATGGCTCATTCTTTGGAAAGCAGTTGTTTAAGATCACCACCTCCCCAGACTCTTTTTCTATTCTACGCAGATCAACCAGTGCTCGCTGGCTAACTGGCTGCAGCCAGACAGAGGAGCTGGGAAATGGGTATCCATACATGGTGAACCCATCGCCAGCCAACAAGAGCTGCCTCACCACCAGAAGGTGGACTTTTAAACATTTTGACATTCCGTCATAAATAATGCAGCAATGGAACCGACGACGACGAGTCTGTGTGACCCAGGACTTCCTGTCCTGATTTATATTCCTATTTGTGAGTGCACTGGCAGATGAAAACCCAGTCAGATGTTCCTGAGATCTGTGTAAATGGCTGCTTTAATGACCAATTCACGGCCCAGTCATGACTCAGGAATGAAGGGAAATAATCCAGCAATTACAACATGGAATTTCCTGCCTGTATCAAGCCCAGTACATGCAGGCAAGGGGCAGCTGTCCCTGAGACCCCTTGAGCTGTCCCATGACACACAGGCCCAGGGTCATCTGTTGGGTGAGCATTAGAAGCTGAGCCACACTGGCTGTCACACTGGGCACTCTTAATATTCCTAAGCGAAGATTATGCCCTTTGTCACCACAGCCCGGAAGGGCCTGCTCACATTTTGGCCATCTTCTCAAGAGAACAGTCATTGCTTCCAGGCTGCTTTCCCTCCGACCCCACCCTTCTCGCCCTGCTTTGGCTCCGGGAATTTCACAGGCCTGAGTTGAGTCCGAGCTCTGCAAGGATGGGCGGTCGATTGAGTGTCTTCATCTACAGCCTCGTCTTTCCTTGCTCAGTGTTGGGAAGTAGAAAGGCCACAGACCATCCTTCCTGTGACGGAGCGAGAAGATAGTGATTTATGGGTCAAGCACCAACACAACACAGGGTAGTACACACTGTGCCAGAGGCAGCATGGGGCGTGTGTTTGGGTGTGCGTGCCTTTGTAGACACAGTGGTGCGGGGCCGTCAGAGAAGACTTCCTGGAGGAGGAGGAGCCTGAGGTGAGACCTGCAGGATAGGCACTGGGCAGGGATGATCCGGGGAGATGGGGTTGAAGAGGTGACCATACAGGATTAGGTTTCCCTGGATCATTAATTTAGGCTTTATTCTAGAGTTTTTGTTACGTTATTGAGGAAATGCATATGGGCAACTTCTGACCTCTGGTCATACAAAGAAGGAGACTCCAATTATACATCTGCCTGAGGATGATTCCTATGAGGCAGAGGTCAGGCATGCTTCCGTCATCGAACTTCCTTTACCTATTCAGACACCATCCGGCCTTCCCACGTGCTCTTCGGCTCGTAGTCCCTCAACCTTCCTGATGCCATGACCCTTTCATACAGTTCCTCATGTGGTGGTGACCCCCGCAACCATAACATTATTTTCGTTGTTAATTCGTAAGTATAATTTTGCCACTGTTATGTATCGGACGACCCCTGTGAAAGGGTCGTTTGATTCCCAAGGGGTTGCAACACACAGGTTGAGAACGGCTGCTCTACAGCAGTGACCATAGAGTTCACAGACAATGACTATGGGGCTTAATAGGGGCGCGAACAGCTAACAGAATGTGAACGATACAATTCTTTTGTCCGTTGCTCCTCTTCCGAAGCCATGCTGGCAGACATGCCTCTCTGACATTAGTCATATTTAAAAACAACAAAACCCTCCCACCCCCACCCCCGAGGTTCAGCCACATGCTCCCTTGGCTTCTGGTTCATTCCGGGGCCAAGAAGCCTGCCTGCTTGTCACTCTGCCTCAAGGCCTTGAGGTGGCTCCTGTGCTTGGTCTCAAGGTCTTGAAGCTGAAGCCTCTGGTGACTTTGATGTGGCCTCTGCTGCCTCCACCACTTCAGATAGGGAACTCCCATGCAATCCGCTGGTGCCTCTTCTTTCTTGAAGGTCGGGGGATTCCTCTTTTCCTGTTTCTGAGATGGCTCACATTGATACCCAGTGGAATGAATGGCAAAATCAACCGATCCCCCAGTTCGTCACCTGTACCTTATTTGCATGCTCCCACCCAGTCACTGGTTGGGAGCTACAAGGACTGCAGCAGGAAGACCCTCAACAACAGTAATTTGACTTCCCACAGATACGGGACTCGAGTTCTGATAGCCTACGAACGTGGGACAGAAGGAATTAAACCAATTCCCTTGGGTTAAAGTGGAATGGTGATCTTTGGAAGTCACTTTTAATTCCTCTCCCCGACTCTCTGCCCACACTGCACCCTCCGCCCCAGTCCCTTATTCTTCCCACGCTTTCTGAAGAAAGAGATGGTGACACAGAGACCACCAGGGGGCAGCTGGGGCTAGACGCACGTGCCTCACACACTGTCTGGTGCACAGGCTCCGGTTCTGTGAGCTCTTACCTCGGATTAGCAGTGGATGCCGCCTTGTGCGCTAACCTGTGTCCTATGAGATGCCTTCAATTGGAAAGGAATCCGGCATCACAATGTAGAGAAACGATAGCCATACAACGCGAATGGTAAATATATCAGGATCTGTTGCCTTTGAAAGTGACTCATGGTGACTCTATGTGTATCAGAGTATAAATGTGCTCCACGGGGATTTGATTTCTTTTTTTTAAGTCATTTCATTGTGATTTGGAAAAAAGTTTATAGAGTATATTAGTTCTTCATTTAATAGTTTCAGAGTGTTCTCAATGGCTGCTTTTTTCTGGGGGAAGTAGAGCATTAGATCTGAAGTGCTTCTGGTTGGATTTAACACTCTCCCGACACGATCCGTTTCTGCCACCTAGGGTCTCATGGTAACAGCAGTGAGGAGGAAAGGGCCTTTTAGGTCCGAGAGCTCTGTCTTTGAATCCTGTCTTTGGGATGCTCCATCAAGGTGACCTGAGGGGCATCACTTCACATCGCGGAACTCCTCGATCCTAAAATACCAAAACTCAACTCACTGCCCCTGAGTCGATGCTGACTCAGGTGGCGCTATAGAGCAGGGTGGACCTGCCCCTGGGGGTGTCCGAGACGGTGAAGATGGTGTCACCATCATCTCTCTGTGGGGACACTAGTTAACGCAATGGCCTCACTTCAGTTAAGGGAGCATTCCCCACGGGCCTGGGGCCCCTCTGGAGCACACCCTTCCTTAGCAGGTAGCCGGGGAAGAGTAGAGCATGAGGCATTTGTGAATACTTCTTCCTCCTCCCCTTAAGCTGAAAGATACATTCCGGTTTACACACTAGCAGCACTCTAACAATGAGTTTGGGGTGGCATCATGGTGCTAAGGGTTCCCGCGGCCCACCTCACTCCAAGGTGGTTAGCAGTACAAATGGGGTTCCGACGATGACCCCACAGTGGGTTCTTTCCTTTGCAGCTGTGCATCCTGCTCTGTACAATCCCCCACCCCCCAATCCCCGGTGCAAATACACAGATGCCGCTCAGATTGGCTCTAGGTCAGGTTTCTGTCTTTTGGCTTCGACACATAAGGAGTTCCTTTCTCTTCTGCACGTGAGCCCAAGCACATCAAAGAGCTATTGCGAGGGGACAGTTAAGGAAGAAAGTGTGTGTGGCACACAGCCTGCGCATAGTGGGTGTGGGACAGTGGCTGCTTTCTCTCTGTCGACAAATACTTATGGACTCTCTCCAGAGGTCAGGGGTCAGTCTGTCTGCTGTGCTGGCTATACACCCAAAGGTCACCCTCTTGAAGTTGTGTTAGATGTTTTTCCATGTTTCGGTGTAACACCCAGGATGGATGGACCTACGGGGACAGCAAGTAGGATAA